AGTCCTGTAACTTGTACAAGGTCAAGATGCTGCTAGATAAACCAGGTCATCCTGACCCACGTGCCTTCCTGTCATGGAAAACTGACTGCTCTGTCCACTCACCTGATAGATGGGGGCCTCCATGACAGGACTCCAGGCCTACAGAGACAGCTTGATGATCAGGCAGGGTGGAGGCAGAGGTACAGGCTTGTGTGGGGACATAAATACGGGGGCCCCTACAACTGATGTGTCTTTGAGTCTCATCCGGGATAACCTCTCTGGGTGGGACCCCTGGGTCCTCTCTAGAGGATTCTTTGAATAGGAAGCATTTCATTGCAGGTGGCCAGCCATTACGGGAAGAGTCAGACACTGGCTCCTCCCCTTTGTGTGTGTGTGTGTGTGTGTGTGTGTGTGTGTGTGTGTGTGTGTGTTGGGGGAGGGATTGGAGGTGCTTTCTGCCCCATCCTCCCCAGGGCCAGGACTGGCTACTCTGCTCCTCTGCCAGCCGCAGCTCACTACCATAGTGACAGGCTACACCCCTCCCTGTGTGGGTGACAGCACTCTCTGAGCACGCCTTGACAGTGTCTTTGTTCCTCGGAAATAAAAGAAAATCGAGCTACAAAGGGAAACCTCAGGTAGCTTTTAGCAGGTCTCAGCTGCCTGGGGCAGAGTGTGTTTAAGCTGGAGGCACTTGTCACGGGAGCAGGAGGGGAGTGCCTCAGACCCCGCCCAGTCCCTACGTGGTAAGACGGGTGGGAGGGTGGAAGTCCCATGATCACGTTTACTTAAGAAAAAAGTGCTTTCAAATAATGGCAGAGGAGAAAAAAATCAATGAAAATTGATAGAGAATGTAAAACAGGGTTTCGTGTGTGTGTGTGTGTGTGTGTGTGTGTGTGTGTGAGAGAGAGAGAGAGAGAGAGAGAGAGAGAGAGAGAGAGAGAGAGAGAGAGAGAAGCATTTGTCAGGACCAAAACTGACCTGCTTGGGGCCCCAGGCCCAGGAAGGTGGGGGCTGGCACGTGCCTGTCGAAGGACGCTGGTGGTTGAGGGGGGAGGGGTGGCAGCTGAGTCTCTAACTCGAGTTAAGAGAGAGATTAATATATTCAATCTGCTCCAGGGTAATTGAGGGAACAATTGGAGTGTTTTTCTAAAGCCCATAAAACTGCCTCATTTGCAAGGAAGAGCCGCCTTGCTGCAGCCCGCAGATTTCATGGAGGCAGAAGAGGCAGAGAAGGGCCGACTTTGGGATGCTAGTCCAGGGCAGCAGCATCAGCCAGGCAAGGGACTGGCAGTCCAGTTCTAACCTGCTCTCTCCTGCTGGACCTCCTCTTGCTCTTTTTGTAGTCTCAGCATTGTTTTCCCAAACCTGTGAAATGGGCCACAGCACTCCTCTTTAACCACCAGGAGCTTGGCAGGTGGAAGCTTTGAAAGACGAGGAAAGTGGGCTGGCACTGAGGGACAGGACAGGGGCGCGAACAAGGAGGTGCCCAGGTCTCCCTCCCCACCCTTCCAGGCCAGCCCCCTGAGAGTGAATGGGCAGTAAAGAGTGGAGTTAATAAAATCCACATCGCGTGCCTCTCCTGCTCGAACCACTCCAGTCTCCAGGGCAATGGGAAAAGCACAGGCAATAGCCAGCCATAAAAGGCATAATGAATTTAAAAGCGGCTCGGAGAGGGAGAGCGAAGACTGGCAGGGCTCTGGCCTGAAACTGGAGGGTTCCTGGGGTAGCAAAAGTGTTGGCCTGCAGCTCTAAGCCAGAATCAGGACTAGGAACAAGCAGGCTGAATGGGGGAGGGGACGAGGAGAGGGAGGGAACAAAGGGAAAGGAAAGGCGGCCCCACCTAGGTGTGGGGAACAGAGGGTAGAGGTGAGGTTAGGCAAGCCACTCCGCTGGCTGCTCGGTTCTCCTCCACTTCCCCTTAACAAAAGCCCCCAGCTTGTTAGTGCTGGAGCCACGGTCAGAATCCACAGGCTTACAGCCAGGTGTTTAGCATTTGGTGATTGCTTTATTAGTTTTCTTCTTTCTTCCTTTCTCTGTTCCTCCGGGGCAAAAAATAATAATAATAATAAAATAAAAAGGTGTTTTAAATGGAAGAAATAAAAAAAAATTGAAAGCGTCTTTTAAAAGTCTCCAGGGAAACAGAATCATTTCCACGGAACAAAACTGCGATTGTCTGGGAGCCACAACTGCGGTGAGGGCCCCCACCACACCCTCCTCCCTCTTCCTCGGGAACCACAGGGCCTTGCAGGAGGAAATTGAGGTTTTCAATAGCAGGCATCCCCAAGGTGGCCCCCAGAGCTACTAGCAAGGAATTAAACTCATGTTTCCAGGAACTGCATCCCTGGGAATCTCCCACTCTAAATTTCCCTCCTCAACAGCCCTGCCTGTGGGAAGATGTCCCTGAACTTTCAGGATGTGATGGCCTTTGAGGGAAGGGAAGTCCTTTTCCTTTTCTCCCCTCTGAGAGGCATAATTTTGGGGAATTGGTTGGAGCTCAGACTTGCCTGCACTTTCTACCTCCCCCCCCCCCCCAGAGTCTCCAGTGTCTAGCACTGTGTAGGCCACCTACCTCCTTTCTGATCACTGCCCCAGTGATAGTACCAGGTGTAGTACTAGGTGTGGGCAGGCATCTAAGGATGCCCCTGTGTCCGGGAAGGGTGACAGCCAGTGGCTGCAGGGAACCTGAGGTAGCTTCTGCCTGTGTGCTCCTAGGGTCCTTCTTTGTGAGTTAGGACAGCCCCGAAGGACCTCCATCCTGAGTCTCTGACCGTCCCTGTTAGAAATATTCATGGGAACAGCTCCTGCTAACCGCCCCCACCTCCGGGAAAATATTAGCTCAGAGCAACTGTATTTGGTGCAGCCTGTTAGAACCAAGCACTGGTGCGCCGTGGCCAGGATGCAAAAGGATTCAGACTCAGTCAGCAGACATTCACACTGAGCCCTGGTCTTGTTCACACGCGGAGTCCTGCCTGTCACTGCAACCCAGTCAGACGTCAGCCTGCCCTTCGCCCCATTGTTCTATTGCCCTCGCCCCATGACCTTCGTCTGTTGTGTCTCGGGAAAAATGGCACCCGCTATGTAAAGGAAAAAAAAAACACACACCCCATAAAAGTAGAGTTCTAAATTAAATAGATTGTTGAGACACCTGGTCCCAACAGGGCTGAGAATAGTTTGGAAGCAATGACATCCATGCTGGAAAACTTCCTGGAGGAAATGGTTTTGAACTGAAGCTCCTGTTCCTGGACCTGAACTGAATTTTGCTGAAGTTGCTCTGGAACCCCCAAATGAAATTCTTTGTTGCTCCTTCTATTTCTCCTATTTCGCCCGTGTTTCTCCAGTTCCCTGGACTGTCAACCAGAAAGCCAAGGGAAGCCTCCCTCTCCCTGGCACAGTCCCCCTTCCTTAAGCAATCCTCTTATCTGGCGTCCTTGCCCCTCTTCACGGGGCAGGGAGGCAGCACGACCATAAGGATCCCTATGGTTCTAGCCCACGGGTCCAAAGAAATACTGAGCCCCTCTGGCCACCAAGTGACAACAGGGACAGGAGCCTGCCTTCGGTAGGCTGAGCTGCTGGGCCGAGTCTGTCTAACTACAAGCCTGTACTGTTCATGAGGAACCCTCCATTGTCTGTGGGCTCTGGCACTATCATCAGGGCTGTGATTGCTGACCCCCCACCCCCACCTAAGGGGAGCGATTTTCCTCTCCCTTGAAAGCTATTTTCTTGTCTTGGTAGAAGCAGACATCTGACACTTTAAGAGGGAGTGTGGCGCAGAGATGATGGCTTTAAATAACAGAAATTAGAGCTGCTGAGGTCGAGGCAGCCATCTCGCCAGCCCCTCCCCCCAGTAGTCCCAACCTCTTTCACCCCCATTTCACAGCGTAGCCTGAATGCCCTGTCCAAGCAGCTCAGGCTGTCCAGGACAAAGAGCAGGGACAGCTTGTTCCAGGGTTCTGAGCCTCCTCCCTAGATAATAGCGGTAGACAGAGGGGCAGGGCCCTAGGCCCTGGACACAGGAAGCTTTCAGACTCACCTCGGCTACCCATCTCATTTCTCAATGGAACAGAATGGAGCTGAGCACAGACAGGGTCGGGAAGGTCTGTTAATTGATTCAGAAATGAATGGACAGAAATTAGAGTGGGCCACATTAGTAGGCCAGGGAGGCCTGGGCAAGAACAGCTGTTCCTGGGTCCCTGTCACATGCTTCCTGCTTATTTTACCTAAACTCCCCTCTTTACAGACCCCCCCCCTCGTGTGCCCCCCTTTTTGCCTTCAGAATTGAATACCCACCTCTGCTCTCTGAGTTTCAGTTCCTCCCACATCTTCCCCAATTGGGCTTCTCCACAACACAGTCTACCTCCTGGGCCTACTCAGTGCTGGCCTAGATTGTGCTCGAGAGACGGGAGCAAGAAAGAGAAAGAGATAGAGGCAGAGACAGACAGACACACAGACAGAGGGAGAGAGAGCAGGAGGACTATGCCTTTGGAGTATCTTCAGTTAGTCCCTCTGCCAGCTGAACTATTCCCTTCTCTTTGCTAGCTTATCCTGGAACCTTCTCCCCTAAGCCTCAAATTGCTACCCCTACACCTCACCCACCTTGTGTGGATCCAACACAGCCAAATATGGGATGGAGGAGTAAATAGATACACGAGGAGAAGGAACAGACTCCTTCCAAAGGACACACCTGAGAATGCCTTTTCTGGCCCTACACTTCCTCTTTAGAGCCGTCCTGCCAGCCTTGAGCACCACGGGCGGGCAACACCCATATTGTATCCAACCGTATTGTATCTAGTGACACTCTGTGCTTAGGGGCTGACCTAGCCATGGATGCCACACGCTACTGCATTCCGAGAGTCCCAATAAATGTTGAAATTTAGTGGAATACAGAATCCTGGGTGTGTTTCCTCCACCTGTGAAATGAACCACTGCTTGCTTGCTCTGTGGATTCTCTTCTGGGCATGACGCCTGGATGCAGAACTTGGCCACAGTGGGAGACCTTCCACAAAAGGGCTAGCCCCCCTCGCCTGAGCCTGATGCCTCCAGGGTCCTGGTTCCCAGCTAAGCCCTTCCTGGTCACTATTGGAGCTGGATTAGCCTTGTCACTCACGACCTCCCTGGAAGTCTGCTGAGGATGTAGGAGATTGAGGTCGGGGATTGTATGGCTGTAGACAGCTGTGTCCTGAGCAGGTACCCAAGTGTACCCACCTGTAGTTCTGGTTGGCTGGGCTCCATGAGGCGGCTTGAGACAGAGGACCTAGGGGCTCGGTGCGCGTGGAAGGCGACACTGTAGGTCAGGCCTCCACAATGGCGGGCTGTGGGGTCCTCACTAGCTCGGAGAAGAGCCAGGTTGCCACAGTAGCGGTACAGGTCCTCGTGCTCCTGGGCTGTGAGGTTCATTCGGGGCTTATCTGGTCGTGGGTAGATTGGGAAGATAGCCTCACCCACCCTCTGGGCTACCTGTCCTGAGGGTCCATCCAGCCTCAGTGCCTCTACACGCAGATGTGTGTCATTCTGCCCATCATTCTTGCAGAATCCTGGGTGGAGAACATGGGGTCAGATATGGTCTCCAGGGTCTCTGTCCTTCTACCAGGGAGGAAGAAGGACATCCAGGGCCCTGGGGCAAATTTTGAGCCGAACTCAAGTGTGCTTGGCTAAGATTTCTCTTATGGGCAGCCCCTCTCAGGCTTCACCCAAGGCTCCTTCCCTTTTCCCATGCCTCGTGTGAGCCCACCAGAGTGAAGAAGGAAAGGCTTACACCTATGGGAACCATTCTGAGTCCTGACACCACTCTGGACCAGGGAAGAGTTTGGCCAGTGCCTGATTTCTAGCCAACCATAGTCTACTTCCACCAGGAAGCCTGCCTGGGTAGCTCTCATTCTAAGTCTGGATCTTCTAAATCACTTAGCCATTTTTGACTTAAGATTTTTGCCTCTTTGTACCCAGTCTGGAAGGCCCCAGAAGGCAAGACCAGGGTCTCCTATACATCCAGGTCTGTCCATTCTCCATTCCTATAACCAGCGGGTGCTTAGGGGACTTCTAGCATTATTCCATATAATGTTCACTGCTTACGACTGGCTCTAAACATGCTTTGGGCTTGCTTCTTTTGAATTCATACATCCCCTTTAGTTCTTCTTCACCCCTGCCCCCTGTGAGAACAGTGTCAGCACCCCCATGTTACAATGAAGGAAGCAGGGACTTGTACAGGGCCAGCATTTGTCCAAGGTCACACAGTCACATAGGCAGAGCTTGGGCGTCTGTCTAGAACTCTGCCCATGGCTCTCCCAGTTCCCTTTGATTTCTCAGGGCTCTGACGAAGTCTAGGGCAGAAGTCCCAAGGACCCTCCTTCCCCACAACCCCGACTCCTCTTTGTACCTTTGGGCAAAGTAAAGACAAATCTGTTCCTGGTGAAGGTGAGGCTCTGTTCAGGATCCTGCTGCTCAATGACCTCAGTGACAGCAGAGCAGGCTGGGACGGGGTCCCCATCATTGACTCGCAATTGTACTCCAGCCCCAGAGCCTGCCTGCAGTGGATTCTCAGCTGACATCCTCAGGGCATATCTGCCCTCCTCATTAAATACCACACTCAAGACCTCAAACTCCAGGTCCAGTGTCATCTCTTCTGCCTTTAGCCTTGGGCTCGGCAGCGATGCAGGCAGATGGCGATCAGAACCTCTGAAGGCCATGGCTTCTCCAAGCCGAGCTCTGTCCTCTCCTGCTCACAGTTCCATCCCAGTGTGGAGCAGACAGATTGGGCATTTGGGGCCACACCTCACCCTTCTCTGTTTGTTTGAGAAGGATCCAGGCAACAAGCCAGGAAACCGAGTCTGAACTGGGGAACAAAAGTAGCAATTCATTCTTCCTATTTAGTGTTTGATCTTTGAGCAAATATTTATTGAGAGCCTACTGTATGTGAGGTGCTATTTTCAGCATTTTGAACATAGCAGCGAACCAAACACACATTCCTGACCCCCTCCCCCCAAAACCTGTCTTCTAGTGAAGGCAGTAGGTAGAGAAGACAAAGATAAACATGAATTATGGAGACAAACGACCAGGGCTAGCTCAGTCAGTTAATTACTTGCTGTACATGCATGAGAACCTAGGTTTGATTCCCAGAACCCATGTAAGCTGGGAATGGAGGCTCATGTTTATCATCTCAGCGCTGGGAAGGTCTAGTTAGGTAGATTCCTGGAGCCGGCCTGTCACTCTAGAAGAATCAGTGAGCTCCTGGCTCAAAAAAGTAAAAGGTTCCTGAGGAATAATGCCCAAGGTTTATGGCTGGCTTCTACATGTGTGCCTGTATGTACATGTGTGCTCATAAACATATACATTCTTACACCTATACACAGTCTATGTACAAATGTACGCCTGCATGCGTGTGCGCACACGCACACACACAAAACCTCAAGTTCTTAAGTATGCAAAAAGATGATATTTTCTATGCAGTCTATAAAACATGAGGGGCACGCGGTAGTCAGAACTTTCTATTTCTTGGGTGTCTATTTCAGTGGACTGGGAGAGGCCTCCAGGGCAGGGAAATGTGTCTATCAGTATGTGTTTCTTCAGCCAGCTTACTTAATTAAGACACACGGCTTCACTTTACAGAGAGAACTTGGTCTTTCACACCAAGGTAGTCAGCCAGGGATCTCTTCTCCCTGGTCCTGGGTTTAATTGCAGCCAGAGGATCTTAGACAGTCCTCAATAAAAACTAAGTTTACTGACATCACCACTATCTTACCACTGTCACCATGACCATTACCTTCACCACCACCATCATCACCACAACTATTACCACTATCATCACCACCACCATCAGCACCACCACCACAACCATCACCACCACCACCATCACCACCACAACCATCCTCACCACCACCATCAGCACCACCACCACAACCATCACTATCAACACAACCATAATCACCACCATAGTCATTATATTATTATTGGATTAATACTGAATAATTATATAATTATCAAATATTGTTGGATTCTCATTATCCAATAATATTAGTATCACTACCATTAGCCATACTTTCTACTGAACAGTTTCTGGGCATTAGACATTCTTGTGGATCTATAAGGTGACACAACTATTTCCTGTTTTCTAGATTGAGAATATGAGACTGAAAGAATGTCCAGACACTTGTCCCAGATCAAATGGCCAGTGGGAATTGAGGTCTGGACCCAAGAAGTGCAGTCTAGCTACATATGTGATGCCTCTCCTGGGGAAATTCAGTCGCCTGAAGCTACAGAAGGACAGTTTTGAGTCTGTAGAGCATGCTTATGATGAGCATGGTTTACATTCACAGCGGTTCACCTGCAGTTAGCCATGTCAGCTGAGGTCATTTCCTGAAGGAAAGACACTGTTCTGAAGATGGCTGCAGGCAAGTGCAGCTAAGGGTCCCAGCAGCTGTGGGCTTCCTTTACAACTGTCCCCAAGGCGACACCAAGGGAGAGCTCCAGTGACCTAGCGTGTAGGTGACATTCAGTAGATCCCTTCTCTCTGGATGTTGGTGCCCCTTCTGTGTGACGGGCAGCAGTGGGATAGGTGAGCCATCCTGTAGCTCTAACAGTTGGGAACTCTGTCAGTCACACAGGGAAAAGGGCACAGAACAGCTGTTTTGGGGAGATGGTGGGTGGCAGAGGCTGCCTGAGAATCCTCATGCGGCCAGTTATGGACTGCAGACTGAACTTGTTTCTGCCAGGCCTGTCCTAAAATGAAATGGTTTGGTACAAACAGCTCTCTTCCCTCCTATGTTTGAAGTCACTCCCAGCGTCGTCAAAGATGAGAGGCCATCTTGCCTGCCCCAAGGCTCTGTGACCTCAGCACACTGCAACCCGGCCCGCTGCTCCGGCAGACAGGGCTTGTGTGCGCAATTGTGTCTTTCTAGTCGGTTCTCCCAGTCCCTTCAGCACTGCCATCCTCCCTGCTGCCCCCTCCATCTGTTCACACAGCCTTTGGGGTGGCTTGTTGGCTTCAGCATGCATTTAGGACCCTCCACTGTCTGGCATCCCGCCGCTTTCCAAGTATCCCCTTCCCACTCTGCCTCCAGGGTAGGCTCACTCGTGTGTGTGTGTGTGTGTGTGTGTGTGTGTGTGTGTGTGTGTACATACGGGATACACATGTACTTGAAACAAACAAACAAACAAACAAACAGAAACTCGGTTGACAGGATGGCTCAGTGGGCAAAGGCACTGTCTGCCAAAATGACAATATGAGTTTGATCCCTGAGACATACGTGGCAGAAGAGAACCAACTCCCAAAAAACTGTCCTCTGACTTCCACATGAGCTCTGTGGAACAAACGTTCACTCACACACACAATAAATAGACAGACAAGCAGACAAAATAAAATTTCTTAAAGTAAATAACAATAAAAGTCACAGATCTGGGGATGTAAGCTCAGTTACTAGGATTCTTGCCTGGCACACACCAAAGCCTTAGGTTTGAGTTCAGCATCACATAAAGATGAGTGTAATACAAGAGGTAGAGGGATCCAGGTGGTCTAGGTGCACACCTTTAATCCTAGCTCTCAGGACGCAGAGGCAGGTGAATCTGAGTTCGAGGTCAGCTTGGTCTACAGAGTGAGTTTCAGGGCTGTTACACAGAGAAATCCTGTTTCGGGGGTGAGGGGAGGTAGAGGCAGGAAGATTAGAAGTTCAAGGTCATTCTTAACTACATATCACGTTTGAGGTCAGCCTGGGCTACATAAAGAAAAAAAGCAACAACAAAACATCAATGATTTTTAAAATTACTTAGATAGATATAAACAGACAGATAATGTTTTTAAAAGTATATTTCAGGAGTATGTTCTCTTTGCTGTGTTATCAAATTCTAGAACTCGTTATCTGGTAAAACAGAAACTGTCTCCCATTAAAAAGCAGCTCCCTGGCAACCTTGCCTTCTATTCCTGGGTCTGAACACCCATTGGCCAGGCCCACTCCAGGTGCTCCTATGAAGGAGGCCTCACAACGCTGTCCTTTCAGACCAGCTCACTTCCCCGTGAGCAGGAGAGCATCCTGGGAAGATTCAGGTTGCACCAGGCCAGGTCCATCCTGCACCTGCGCACTGCCCCTCCCCTGCCTTTGCTGGTGTTGTTCTTCTGCCCACACTGCCCAGGTCCTTCTGAAGCAAGACTGCTCCTCCTGCAGCCTGAGGAAACTTTCCCTTCAGCCCCTCCAGCGGTGCTGTCCTTGGTTACCCTGCACCCTTTCCTGATCTGTTGTAACCCATGACCTACCCATCCTCTATTGGTGTTTCTTTGAGGAACACGCAATGGTTTGTGTGCCCAGGTCAGTAATAAGGACCCAGGAGGCGATTAAGGCATCATGGAGTGAATGAATGAGTGGATTAATTGATAAAGACAACTTAGCCAGGCTGGAGAGATGGCTTAGCTGCTGAGAGCACTAGCTGCCCTTCCAGAGGACCCAGACTTGATTCCCAGCACCCACACGGTGGCTCACAATCCTCTATAACTCCAGTCCCAGAAAAATCCAGCACCCTCTTCTGGCCTTTGTGGGCTCTGCATACTCTTGATGCGCAGACGTACATGCAGGCAATACACTCATGCACATTAAATATGATAGCGAGAAATTAAACACAACTCAACTTCTGTTTGTGGCTATTTCATCTGGTTTCCATCTGTGAGAGGTGAAGGAGTTTTACTCACCTTGAGGAGCCTGGTGTGCCCAGAAGGACAGAAAGCCCTGACTATGTACTACGCAGCAGGATGGAGGCAAGACTTCCTGATGCTTCAAGTTTTCAGAATTCTGGCCTCTGATCTTCAGAGATGGTCGTAGCATCTTACTATGTCAGGACTAGACGGCATCCACATTTTACACTTGGGGAAACTGAGTCCAACCGTGGACAGAAAGACGGGTCTGGACTTCCATCTTTAATGGTTTTCAAAAGGTTCAAACCTTAGGGGAGATTGTGCTGGGTGGCAGGGCCTGTACCCTGTGAGTGTGCAGGAAGGTGTAGGGAACCAGTAATCGAAGGCTGACTGCCAAGACACCTTCTGCAGTCCCACCATGAAAGCCTTAATGGGGCCCTGGACTCCCCTTTCTTCTGCAAAAGAATGGCCACTTAGAGGCTGCTGGGGTCTGAAGGGCCTGGGCCTGTAATTAGCCACCCAGAGCGCCTCTTCCTGTTTCCCACAATGACTCTTTTCAGCCTGCCTGCCAGTATCCCCAGGACTCCTGAGGGCTCTTAGGCCCCCATCGCTAGGCACCTACCTCCCACTCCCTTTCCACCCACCCACTTCTGGCCTCAGCATAGAGCCGAGTTCTCACCAAAAGCAGGGACGTTTGAGAGTCCCCTGGAAGCCTCTGGGACCTGTGGCTGAGACACACATCGCCTTCCAGCAGAGGAAACAGGCCAGAGAGAACAGGTGGGTGGGGTGGGTAGACTCGGATTTCCTGATACCCAGTCTGTGGGATCCATAGATCACCTCAAACCCCCATAGGGCTGCATCCTGCATTCTCCCAGCTCCTCCAAAACCTCCCTCCTTCTCAAGCCCATCCTGTTCTCTTCAGGTCTGAGTGTCACAGGCTCATAAGGTGACAAGATGGCAAAGCGAACATGGCAACCAGTCTGTCTCTACATCACAGACTGAGAGACTCAGGGCCAGGCCAGGAGGGTTTGAACTTATGATTACTCAGTTGATAAGTGACAGAAACATAGT